TGTAGGACACCAACATCTTCAGAATGTCTAACATGAAAAAAGGTGTAAGAATAAACCAAAAATAGAAGGAAACTAACTGAACATACTGACACTATATATGAAAAGCTTGTGATCAACATCCTCAATGGTGAAAAAATGCAAGCTTTTCTTCTCTTAGATCTGGAACAAAATAAGAATGCCCACATACAACGCTTACACTCAACATGGTAGTCAAAGTTCTAGAATGGATAATTAGGCAGTGACAATAATGAAGGGGACCCAAACTGGAAAGGACCAAGTAAAACAATCTATTTGCAGATAACATGAGGTTTTCTTAACTTTTATTAATACATGTTTGCAGTACCTCCTCTGATTACATTCATTGCAGAGAGTTGGTACACATACATAACACATATTCTTTGTGTATTCCTTGCCCTCCCCATTGTCTCCTGCTTCCATCTCTTAGAAAACACGACCTCACATATAGAACAAGATCCACAAAAATGTTACTTGAGCTTAATAAATGAAGCAAACTGGTAGGATGGAAAATCAAGACATAAAAATCAGCTGCAATTCTATAATCTAGCAATGAACAATCCAAAAAGAAAACTAAGGTGGCAATTTTAGTTATAATAGTATCAAAATTGTTGGAAACTTCAGTTACAATAGCATTCAAGAATAAAATCCTTAGGAATTAATTAATGGATACAAAAGTGGACTTGTACACTTAAAATTATAAAACATCAATGAAAGAAATTAATTTCTTAAAAAGTGTAACAATAGACTCTATATTAAGATGGTAATATTGTAGTACTCAACTCAGTCCCCAGATTCAATGCAATCCCTGTCAGAACTCTGCACTGTCTTCCTAAAAGGTGGACAAATTGTTTGTTTCACTTCTTTTAATTTTAGCTAATTTCAACTTAAATAGCTGCATGTGCCCAGGAGCTGCTAGGTAAGACAATACATCTACAATGACTTGGCCAAAATGCCTCCCTTCACCCTGACAGCTTTGCGGTAGGGGTGCAGTGGGGAGTTTCCCCACACTGAGAAGACCACAGCAGCAAGCACTTTCTCCCAGTAACATCTCAGCAGTGACAGAATGCTTCAGGAAGCTTGTTCCAACACAAGTAAAGACACATACCCACACTTTCCGGCTGGAACCCAAGACCTTCTGAAGGATGAGCTACATACTTAAATGAGTTAGGCTAAATTTTTCTGTAATTATTTCCTTCCCCTTGGCTTTTGAATTTTTTTTATTTCAAAGTTAGGTCTTAGGAAAAGAAAACATGCCCAGAAATCCCATAAATGGGCAAGCTACAGCCACCTAGTTTTGAACAGCTTCCTGAAAATTCCCAACATTGTTTAACCATTCCCTGGCCATGCCGTTAATATGGTTTTTAAACAGATTACAACCCACAGTCTTTATGACATCTACACATACCAGCAGAACCATAACCACTCTCATTTCCAAATTGGCAAGGTGTTCAACAAAACCGAATAAACACATACCAGAAAAGGGAGGTGGGTATAAATGCCAGCCGGCTGCAGCCATAATTAGTGGGCTGCAGCTCCTCTAGTTGCTTGGAGCTTTACTCCTAACTGGTTCCCCAAAACAGAGAAACAATACAAAACCAGGGAGTTCAGAGCAATGTTTTCCAAACAAGCCCTTTTAGCCCACAGTCCTTTCATAAAATTGCAGTAGACCATGCATGGGGGCTCAACCAATAAAAATGCAGACACAGCTGGTAGTGACTCCTTAGCAAGGCAAAGCCCAGGGTCCTCTTGCTTTGAAACCCTGCCTGCACGCCTGCATGAAAACTCTGGGTCCACTTGGCCTTCAATATAGAGTTCCCCAAGAAGGGAACATCCTGAGGAAAACTTTCCTTACAAGAATCTCAGCCAATGCTTAAGTGTAAAGAAGAGTAAGCCTTGGGGAGTCCCCTGGAGCCAGAAGATGAACCCCAGCTGATCCCCAGCCCGGAAGGAAGAGTGTCCAATATAGTCCCCCTCTGGATTCCCAGGAAATAAACCAGATAAACATGAGAACACCCATGACATTTTACAGGATCCTTATAAACCGGGTGGAGACAGCACTTAGAAATCACTTTCTAGTCCCTGAAAAGGAGCCTAGAATTACCTAATTAAACCCTCCAAAGGAAAAGACTCACAAGGTCCACAAACTCATAGTTTTTTCAAGGGGCTAGCTCCATCCAGCCTTAGGGAGCCCAGGCATTTCACACCAGCTCTCATTATAATGATAAAGATGCATCTTCCAACCCAGCCTCCTGGGGAATGCATTTTAAAGGAGCACCAGGTCTCCAGCTGAAATCTTCCTAAAGCAGATTCGTCTTCTTACCTGTCAGAGAAGCTGCTTCTTACTCTACATTTCTGTTTCACTGCCATCCAAAAAAAAGAGACTCCAAAGAAAGTGCTAAATAGAACTGAAGATCTGCTAGACTTTAAAACGTTCCCAAGGTTAAGTGCAGGCTAAACACCTAAGGGACAAGAAGTGACAAACGGCAAGTCCTGCCCTAGCAGAGAAACACAGCAACACCAGTCACAATTGCACTTCGCATACACAATAGGAATAACGTTTAACAAAAAATAGAAATGGTCTTGAACATTGCCTCACCAATCTGCAGACTGCTGTCACCAAAACCAACCAGGAAAATGCATGTTTTAAACACATGATGCTTTTTCACACACAAAATTTTGAGCACAATGCTTGTCAGTTCTCTAGCAATAACTTGCTAGTCAAAAAGGCAGCCCCAGGCTGCGGGTAGACCTCAGAGGCACAGCACTTGCCTAGCATGCTCTGGGTCCAATTCCCAGCACTGCGAAAAGCTAAAAATAAGTAAATAAAAAGTGTCTCTCAATTACACTGCCTGTGCCACACACAGGGTGCCCAGATTCTCAGGGTAACAAACTTCAAGTGGATGCCGAGGCTCAACTCCATCTCACTGTTAAATTCTGAAATGTTTCAAACATGTCTACATTTCGTCTTACCATATACACAAAAGCTTTTGTTTCCACAGAGGCTGACGTTACCTTCCTCTAGATGGATCAGTGTCACTATTCATTACGACCATTATTCTGGGGATTGGGGCCAGAAGTAAACACTGCGCTATCAAAACGTGAGGACAGAGGACCCTGAACGTATCACTCCCAACCTACCCTCCCTAGGAGAGCAGCAGGCGCCCTAGTCAGCTAAGAATCTTATATTCCTTGGGGTCTCCGTTAACCTATCCAGTTCACAAGAGAATTACATCCTGCTCTTTCCTCTACGGAGTGTTATTTCACTAGAAAAAAAAAATCAGCTCCACTTAGAGTTCAAAGAAAATTACCTTGGATGGCTTTGTTCCTCAGAGTTCCTACTTTCCACTGGGAATGGTGGTTTTTCCACCCAAAGTGCAATGGACTGTCCTACAACCTTGCCTGGGGCAGTGGATGCACCCATCCCCCTCATCCGGCAGCTCAAACCCCTCACCACAGGAATGGCCCCAGTTGTGCGAGGCTAAATTACTGCTGGGCAGTTAACCACCGAATGACCACCAGCGCACCCTCAGGTTCAACAGGCAGCGTTTAAGAACCCGCCCTTCCAGCAAAAGGCTCTCAATAGTGTAAATGAGTTTTGCAAATGGAGAGGGCTGGGAGGAGAGTGCAAAATACAGAAGTCCTCAGTGATGGACACTAACTTAGAACGTGACTTTCTGTCCTGCACTCTAAACTACTTGTGCTTTAATGAACAGGGATCTAAATACAAACCCCTCTCCCAGCTCAAGTAATCAAGAACGTCTGATGCAATCAGCATCTACTTAAAAACTCAAACGCCATCCCACCCTCCACCCCGGGATAGAGTGGGGCGGACCAGGGCAGCAAAGCTGTGTACCTAGAGCGCGTCGTCCACAGCTGGACGCGGGAAGGGCTCAGCGACCCCTTCCCATGCTTCCCCCTAATTCCCACCTGCCTACAGGAATGCAAGGGGAGCCAAGCACACTGAAACCCATTTACACGTAAGGACGTCTCACAGTCCTAACACGAACCTCAATGGTCTCTAATCCTGCAAAGCTTAGAGGCTCCGCCCGCGACCTCCCACTCTACGGCAGGGTGCCCAGAATCCCGCCAGAGCAACGCAAGCCTTTGGGGCCCCTGGGATCAGACCCGCAAGAGCCAGAGGGGCCTCTTCCCGGCACCCATGCAGGTGTCCCCTGAGCGCCCACAGAACCTCCTCTGCCCCGCTCCAGTTATCTCGCGCCCCGAACCCTCTAGGCTAAGCCCACACAGCGCCCGCGGAGTTCGGAGTGTCCCTCCAGGAAAAGCCGCGAGGGAGCCCGCCTGCCCCACCCCTCGCCTCCAGCGTCCTGGAATCCCGGCCGCCCGGGCACTTTTGGCGCCCCCACCAGAAGCACCGCTTAGGCCGCCTCTGGGCGGCAGGAAAGATTTAAGGGCCTACAAAAGGGAAGCCCAGCGCGTCCATCAAGGACTTGAGAATTCAGATCCCAGCGGCGCGCGTCCCACCGCGGGGTCTCGTGCACCCCCCCCCGCGCGCCGGACATCAGGCCAGCCTGGCGACGGGGTCTCCACACCGGCAGGGAACCGAAATCCGTGTGCCCTGGAAGGATCACCTAAGGGCGTAGGGACCGAGCTCGGTTCCTGGGACCGGTGGGCACATCTGCGGACACCGATCCAGGCAGGGCGCGCACCCGCGCTCGCAGCTGCACACTGGCTCTCCGACTCTTGGAAAGCCACCCCACCCCCGCCTCTGGAAACATTTAGCCAGCTCCAGAGCACGGCTTATTGAAACCAGCCCCGGGTGGCCCGGGGTGTGGGCCAAGGCGCGGGGCCCAGCCTGGCGCCGCGCAGGTCCTCACGGCCAGCACGGAGCCCCGGGACCCTGACTGCGCCCCTCTCCCAGGAGATCCGGCGCCAGCGCGGCGGCCGGGGTGCAGAACAGAGGAAGGGGCGGCCGCGGGAGCAGCGAGCCCTCGCCTGTGAGCGAAGCGCGCGCCGGGTCCTACCTGAGGTCTGCCGCGCGGAGAGCAGTAGCGCGACGGCCGCCCAGACAGTCCGGACGCACCGCGGCAGCCCAGAGTCCCGGGCCATGCTGCGGGTCGTGGGGGCCAGGTCGCCTTCCGCTGCGCAAGCTTCGGACCTCGGACGGAGATGCGGGGAGGCGCCGCCAGCCCGTTCTGTGCGCACGGGCTGCTGCTTCTCCCTGGCGCTTCGCCGGCTGCCCCTCGTGTTCCTCCTCTCCGGCGCGAGAGGGCAGCCAGGTTCCCGCGGCAATGCGGGCGGCTCGGGAGGCTCCGGGCAAGGACTCCGCGTCCTGCCGGCCGCCAGGACGAGCGCGGGGGGCGGACCGCGGCGGGCGGGCTCTCCGGAGCACGGTCCTCTCCCCGCCCTCCCCTTGGACAGGCCCGGCCCGGGCCGGCGCCGGCGCCCTCTGCTGGGCGAACGCGCGGGACACTTGGCCAGGGCTGCTCCTTGTTGCCAGAGCTCCTCCTGACCGCGGCCCCTGCCTGCACCTCGCGAAGCGGGGACCCAAAGTTGCGCCTTGGAGGGATCTTGTCGGGCTTAACCGGGGCCGTCCACGCCGCAGAGGCTCCCCAACCTTTGTCACCCACTTACAGGAGGCAGGACGCCTGGGGACCTGGGTCCCAAAGCATAAACACCAAGATACGTTTGACCCAGCCGGTGTCCAGCAGGGCACGTCAGGGAGCTGCCGGCCTCAGAAACCTTCTGCGCGCAAGGAGCAAGGTGAGGGCTCGGTGGAGATGTTGGAGAAGGGAACGTGGCCGCGTCCCCGCTGGCGCCCCACTGCAGGACAGTCGAGTCTCCTGATGCTCCAGCTGCCGGGAGCGGAGCTGCCCTGAAGGAGCCCACGGAGCCCGATGCTATCTGAAGCCGCTGGCTTTTGTTTTACTGTTAAAAGCAAATTGTGTCATTTTACCCATTAAAAGCAGAATGCAGGGCCCCAGACCATGAAGAAGTAATTTGCTTCCCTAGTAAAAGACATTTGAACGCAATTCAAATAACATATTTTCTTGCTTATTCTTGGTTTTGTTTAGCACATGGGAAGGTCTGGGTTTGCAAGGCCTCATTCTCCTGTTTGTAACTCAGGAATTTTCTTTGTTTTTCCTCCATTGGAGGAAGAATTTGGATTCCCTTGTTCGGTGAGATTTATCTTTTAACTGATTGCCAAGCAGTTTGTTTAGTGGGTTTTTTGTTTTGCTTTGTTTTGCTTTTTGTTGTTGTTGTTGTTGTTCTGGAGTATTTTTCCTGTTAATTGGGGTGAATTAAGGAGAGCTCTGGCCTTGGTACCAGACCCCAAGGGCGCGGAGTTTGCCTGTGGAGTTGTCCCCAATGGCTTCAGACAAGGCCGGAAACCAAAGTTCTCTAGCCTAGTCTGCTGGCAAACCGCCTGAGCCAGCCGGCCCCACCCCTGCTCATATTATTTGGGCCTCAGGCTGGCTCTGGCTAAGGGTCTTGGGAATATTTTACACCTTTTTCTTTCCTGATGCAGAGTAGAGGAATAGATTGGAGCTGGGCAAGGGCTGCAGGTATTGGGGGGGGGGGCGCACCCCCTTCCTGGGCTGGGTGATAAAATCGTTATTCAGTGTTCCAAACTCCTTCTTCCCACACTTACCTCATTTAGACTGGAGGACCGCTCACCAGAGCGTTGACATCTTCCAGGTGTTTGTCTTTGGGGTTTTCCTCCTAATCTCTCTCTGTAGGGGCCCTTCTTGATGCTTTTAGAGCCACTAGTTCTAAACCAGACAGGGGCTACTGAGAAGGGTCTTCTGAATTTCCCCTTGGACAGTCCCAGTAAGGCTCTGTCATTTCCACTGTGCTGTACCCCTCAGGAAAGGAGATCTGCCACTTGTGGAGATCACTCTCAATTTCCCACCAATAACTGCAGCCTGTTTTCCCCTGGTCTCACTTCCTCCTTCCTCCTCTATCTCTTGGATAGGAATTGAAGAACAAACACAGCAAGATTGAAGGGGTCAAACACAAGCTTCCACCAGTTAACAATGTGTGGCTACAATTAAAAACCAGACTGGAGCTACATACTCTTTCCCACCTGTGTTACTTATCAGTTAATGGCTGCATAATAAATTTTCCCAAAACATGGAAACCTTCAGACCTAACCATTTATCTTGTCAAATAATTTCAGCTGTTGACTTATTTGCTTCTTCATTGGTGAGATAAATTATCCAACACCCACAAGTTAAAAAAAGAAAAGTTTTATTTTGGGTCACAGTTTGTAGAGGGTTCAGTCTATGGTTGGCTGTCTTCAAGGCAGGGTGGTATGACAGAGGGCATCACAGAGGAGAAACAGCCTATGGCAGGGCAGGCAAGCAGCAGGAAACAGCAAGCAGACTGCTTCTCCCTTTCATCACATCTGGGCTCCAAGTCTTTTGGATGGTGCTACCCACACCCGAGGTGGGGCTTCTTTTTTCAAAAACTAATTTGGCCACACCCAGAACTATGTTAATTCCAATCACTGGACTAAATTAGCACCACACATCCTTAACCCCAATATCACACACCTGGATCCAGTTGCCCCCCATAACGCCCCACGTATGTGCGTGTGAGGCTTTGTGGGAACTAGATAATAGCCATAACAGATGTCAACCAGAATTTCTGTCACAGAAGTTCCACAGGCTGGAAGATTCTCACACATTAATCCACATGGCACACTTTGGACTGGCAGTGCTGGGAGTGAGCTAGAGCCCTGTCCCTGTCCACATGCACCACTGTATAAGGCCCTTGGGCATCTTCATAGCATGGCAGCTGGCTAACCTCCCCCCCTAAAAAAAAAAAACCAGGTAGAAGCCACAGTGATGCCTTTTATAACCTAGACTTGGAAGCACGTATCATGTCAGTAATGAGTGTGCCCTCTTTATCTCACATTGGGGACACACAGAGTAGGAGAGACGGCTGGTCAAACACTGCTATACAGGATCGTCATGTGCATCACATGACAGCAGCATACAAGTGGAAGAAACAGCAGGCTTGGGATGAGCAAGAGCAATAGGAAGCAGCCAAACACCCCAAGCCATGGCGTGAGCCAGGCCCTGTAGGTGTCTGTGGGAGAGCCACGTAGAGTGGGGAGCCAATGAAGGCCACTGGGTCAGAGGGGCCCTGGAATATCTGAGGAACACTTGGAGACCTGCATAGTGACAGTGTGTGGTTTAATTTGCATTTTCCTAATGAATGGTAATATTGCATATCTTAGATTACTTTATAGTAATATGTATTTGTCAGCTCATTGGCCTGAGGATTTATACCTTCTTCTCCCCCCAATTTTTTTTTATAATTAAATGGTTTTTATTTTGGTTTGGTTTTGGTTTGGTTTGGTTTTTGGTTTTCTTGGAGACATGGCTTCAATATGTAGTTCAGGCTGGCCTTGAATTCATGGTGAAGCCAGGCTGGACTCAAACTCATGATGATCCTCCTGCTAACTCTGGCTTCAAAATCATGGCAATCCTCCTGCTGAGTGTTAGGGTTACAGGCATGTGCCAGCTAGTACATGCTTGTAGCATAAAATGATCACATGATCACCTTCCTCATGAATAGGTGGTACAGGTGCATAACACATCTCAATTCTTTTCTAAATCCCCTTTCTCTCCCTTTCATCTCCTCTCCCTATTAGTATACCTTCTCTTGTGAAATATCTCTTCAAATCTTATAAGTTCTGGTAGAGCTTGTTTAAGTCATTTTAGACAAAAAGATGCAGACATATTTCCCTCCCATGGTCCCATAAGTGGTTCCCTTTCCATTTTTTTATTCAAAAAGTCTCCTCTCTCTCTCTCTCTCTCTCTCTCTCTCTCTCTCTCTCTCTCTCTCTCTCTCTCTCTCGCCCCCTCACTCTCCTTCCCCCCACTCCCTCTTCCCTCCAGTACTAGGAGGGAACCTACAGCCTCATGCCCATCAGAGAAATCCTTTACCACTGAAGTACACTCTCAGACCAGCAATTTCTCATCTCTGTGAAATAAAATCTGACCTTTTAAAAAAATTAGTAGTGCTTTTTAGATCTCAGTAAATGGTAAATCAGACAAAAAAAATAAGATTCTAGAGGATGTAGGCATACCAAACTTTAACACACTACTGTGGAAAGTAGATGACTGCAGTTTTGAGCTTTGGGGGAGAAATGAATGCAAGGCAGTATGGCAGAATTGCCATTCTTTTCATGACTTTTCAGTTAGAAAAGCCTTCATCTGCTTTATCGGCAATGAGCTCTACAGAAAGAAACAAGGCAAATAAGATAAACAAATATGTCAGAAGGGTTGTCTCTATTTCCTTACCGCACTCATCATTCTGGCTTCCAGAACCTATATCAGCAGCTTGAATAGTCCATAGAGATGCCAGCCCACTAAGCCCAAGGGAATTCTTGCTTCTCGCATCTGACCTGTCTACAGCATTGTCTAAGACCATCCTCTACTCTGTTCCTGAAACGCCTGAAATGACAGAAACTGAAGTAAAAAAAACAACTCCAGGAAGCTGTAAGGAACTCAGATCAGAAATAATCTCCCAAGTAAAACAAGAAATAATAAACATAATAAAAGGGATGCTGATTATAGCTAAAGAAGATACAGTTAAGAAAATTGAGGGACACTGCAAAAAGATGGAAAGCTTGAATGAACAATGTAAGAAACTAAATGCATGAAACAGATTCAAAGAGATATTCAGGAAATCAAAAACTGCATCATAAGTTGGCAAAACCACCTCAGTGAAAGAGAAGATAGGCCGTTAGACCTTGAATACAAAATTGCAGCTAGTGAACAAAAAAGAAAAGATTTTTTAAATAACAAAGACTCAAGAAATAACAATTCAACAGTTGCAAGGTGATGCAAAGAAAAACAACATAAGATTGATAGGTATAAAGAAAAAAAGGTGACAACACAAATGATATTTTAAAAAACCTATTTACAGGAGTAATAGCTGAAAATTTCCCAAACAAGGGAATGGAAACTGACATACAGATAAGTGAGGCATATAGAAATCTAAATAGCCATAACCAAAATAAAACTACACCCAGAGATATAATCAACATCCCAGAAATTCAACATAAGAACACACTATTAAAAGCAGTTAAGGAAAAAGAGACAGATCACCTGTGAAGGAAAGCCCATCAGAATCACAGCA